GTCCTAGTAGGACAATTGTCTCTAGGATAAATTCAAAAGTCCTAGTTTGGCATGTCCAAAAAAAGACAAAAAGCTACTCAAAAAGTTAAAAAGTTATCACTATTTATCAAAAAAATATTAAAAAATTAATTTTACATACAAAATTACAAGGCAGATCTGACCGGTTCAGATCTGTGCCTGCATTTTTTAAGAAAAATAGGACAGTTGGGGTGCAATTTTAACACACTGCTGTTCGGCTTGTGGAGGTCACGGGTCTCATTTTGATAATCTGAATCGTTCAATGTGTAGAACTCGTCGAGTACTATATATCTATAAAAAAATCACATTTATCGGATATCGCTAATTACATGATCAAATCAGTTTTGTATAAAAAAAATGGATGGTGTTATAGTTAACGATTAAAAAAAAACTAATCTGATAAGATAGCTATCAATATCCGATCAACGTAATTTTTTACAGACATATAGTACTCGACGAGTTCTACACATTAAACGGTTCAGATTATCAAAACGAGACTCGTGATGGCCCCCACGAGCCGAGCAAAACACAGTCCACTGCAATGCCCAAAAAGTAGCCAATCATTTCTTAGCATCAATTCATGCACAAGTAGTACGGTTGCACACCTCACACTCCTAATCTTCTCCTACACACTAATTTATACAATTTTTTAATACATATTTTTTCATAAAAAGTTAACCCAAATAACCCTATTTTTTTCTCAACTTTTTAGTCCAAAAAGTCAAAAATAAGTGCATTTTTTGACTTTTTAGACTAAAAAGTTGAGAAAAAAAAAGATGGTTGTTTAGGTTACTTTTTTAACTTTTTATGAAAAAATGTGTATTAAAAAATTGTATAAATTAGTGTGTAGGAGAAGATTAGGAATTTGAGTTGTACAGCCGTACTATCTGCGCAGCGAAAGTGATGCTAAGAAATGATTGGTTACTTTTCAAGTATTGCACTAGACGGTGCTGTTCGGTCCGTGGGGGCCATCATGGATCTCGTTTTGATAATCTGAACCATTCAATATGTAGAACTCGTCGAGTACTATATGCTTATAAAAAATCACGTTGATTGGATATCAATAGCTATCTGATCAGATTAGTTTTTTTTCAACCGTTAACTACAACACCATTTATTTTTTTGTACAAAACTGATTTGATCATGTAGTTAGCAATATCTAATCAATATGATTTTTTACAGACATATAATACTTGACGAGTTCTACACATTGAACGGTTCAGATTATCAAAACGGGACCCATGATGGACCCTCATGGGTCGAATAGCAGTGTGTTAAAATTACACCCAACTGTGCAATTTTTCTTAAAAAACGCAGCCACAGATCTGAACCGGTCAGATCTGTCTTGTAATTTTGTATGTAAAATTAATTTTTTAATTTTTTTTTTTTTGAATAGTGATAACTTTTTAACTTTTTGAGTAACTTTTTGATTTTTTAGCTTTTTTTGGACATGCCAAACTAGCACAACTAAATATATATAAATACTGTTTGGTGCAACTTATTATAAGCTAAAAGTTGATAATCAGAAACCAGAAACCAAAAACACCTCTTCCCAACTTCTAAATAATCAGCTTTTCTCAGCTTATTTAAGTTATTTCTATCTAAAAAATTATAAACAAAAATTATACCAAATAATCTAACACAAATTTTTTAAAATGAAATAATCTATAATCACCCCTTATAATTTACACCAAACCCGCCATAGTTTCATAAAAGTTAAGGTTTCATAAAAGTTAAGGAAGGATGCGTAACATTTATTGCTTAAAAAGTCTTGAAATGACCTTAATACACACCAAGTGACTCATCAATTTTCTCTCAATTGCCTAATAAAAATAACTTATCATACATATCACTAAAAACAAAAAATTTATTATATCATATGTTTAAAGGTAAAGCACCAATAAATTTTAAAATATAATTTTGTAAACGGTTTAATTCTTTCTATTTTTTTATGAATCTAAAGGTCTCATTAAAATAAAAATTACACAAAAATGTAATTACTTACACGTTTAGATTTAATTTTTAAGGGATAAAAGTGGTTTCTCCAAATGTAAATTACATATTTAGGCAATCCACACTATAGAAGTTTTGGATTTTTTCTCTTTCTAAAATAAATTGTATATCATGAATAAGAACGTAACACCCCAATAATGTAACACACTAAAAAACTCATTAGTTTACTTTTTCCAAATGTAACATCCCAATCAATGTAATCTCAAACATAACACTCTAATGTAACACATATAAAAACATTAAAAAATTACTTAGTGTACTTTTTCTAAACATAACACTCACAGTTTGAAAATATATATTTATCCAAAGATTACTAAAAAAAATTTGTACTCCTTTTGGAATGATTTGAAAAATCCCATACCCTTTTGAAATTGTTTGAAAAATCTTACATCTTTTTTATGGAGTGTTACATTAGAATATTACGTTTGGAAAAAGTACACTAAGAAATTTTTGTGTGTGTTACATTGGAGTGTTACACTAATGAGTTTTTTTGGAGTGTTACGTTTGGAAAAAGTATAATAAATAGTTTTTTTTTAGTGTTACAAGTACTACGTTTGAGTGTTACATTAGAGTGTTACAGATTAAAATTATACATTTGCTCAAACCTTACTAAGGAGTTTTTGTACTCCTTTTAAAATATATGAAGAATCTCATATCCTTTTAGAATGTTTAAAAAATCTCACATCCTTTTAAAGGCCTTGTTTGTCATAATTTAAAAAAGTCAAAAAGTCACTATCCTATTTAAGCCACATCACTTCAAACCCAACCTATATTTCATAAAAAATCAAAAAGTGCATTTATTTAGATCATCCCAAACTAAATATTTAAAGAATCTCATATTTCAAGTTATTTTTGTACTCTTTTTGAAATGTTTAAAAACTCTTACATTTTAAGTCATTCCAAATAAAAAAGATTTACATATAAAAATTCACTCCAAATTTAATTATCACAGATAGTGTATCTTACCTTTCTAATACAAAATAAAAAATAAAAAAACATAATAAAAATAAGAACATAATCGTAAATCTAATTTTCAAATAATAAAATCTATTTTTTTTAAATCAATGAAATTAATTGGTTTATAAAAAAAAAAACTCTTCAAACTAATTGAATCACTATTTTTCAAAATGAAATTTATAGATAAATTTTTCTATTTTTAATATTATATAAATAATATAACATAATACTCTTGAAATTATTAAATAATTAGCTCCTTTTACTTTGTTGCTTTCGTACCATTCACTTTTTACCACTTTCCAAGCCTGTGAAATGCTGAAAGCTAACATCGCATGGCCACAATTTGTTTTCTCCCACCAAGTTGGAATTTTTTTTATTTTTCATTTTTTATAATTCACGAATATTTCCCTCCCAAGCTGAACTGAACCTGAGTCATCTCGAAATTAGACAACTACGAACTAATTTTTGGAGAAGTTAACAAGCTAACAAATCTTCAATAACTAGTTAAAAAACTCAAACTAAAGACCTCAGCTAATGTTGGATAGAGTTTTAAAATTATGATTTGAAAATATAATTGTGTTTTGAGTTTGTGAGTTTTGAAATTATGATTTGAAAAGAAAAAATTTGTTTAGTTATGAGTTTTAAAAAGAATTTTGAATTAAGATTTGAATTTTTGATGTGCCATATGAAATAAGAAAAATTGTTTGGTTTATGAGTTTTAAAAAGAGTTCTCAGAACTACATAACCAAATACACAATTCAAAACTCTATTTAAAACTCATAATTAAACTCTTTTTAAAGTTCAATTCAAAAAAATAATTTGTCATTTTATTTTAAAGTTCAATTCAAAAAAATAATTTGTCATTTTATTCTAAAAAATAATTTTTATATTTAAAAGATATCAAAAATAAATATATATATTTTTTTTCAAATAACAGGTAACGATTGGCAATTACCAAAATAAAATAAAAAAACGGATGTCTGGAAGGATGTCCGAGCGAACGACCGGATAGACCAAAAATTCAAAAATTGTCTACTTTACCAAACATATACGAAAGAGAGGGCATGTACAAAAATGTGAGAGTTTTGGCTTGGAAAGAACTCTGTCAAACGTGAAAGAGATGTGTGTTTTGAAATTTGTGGTGGAATTAATTTTTAAACACACCATCCAAATAGAAATTTCACATGAAGAGATGAAATTATGATCAGGGCGCTGCACCAAAAATGACCTTTAAGTTTTATTCTAATTTTTACCGCCTAACTAACCACTTTAACTCCTAAACCAATTAAGATTCATCAATGACCACAAATTGTTTGATTTTCTATCTCACGAGAAGCCCCTCTAAACCCCAACTTTAGTGAAGATAAAGCATTGGTTCTCATTTCATCTACCAAACAAACAAACAACCACCATCCACCAAAAGCCAACTCTTCTTCTTCTTCGTCTTCTTCTTCTCGTGATCCTCCAATTTTATGTCAAACACACACACACACACACACACAAACTACGCATAAAAAAAAATATGAAAATATGTCATATTTTTAATTATGGATGTCATTTTGATCAACTTTAATTTTTATTTGGTTGTGGCAGAGCTAAAATTTTAGTCTATTAAAACAATAAATCATGATTTAATTTTTAATATTTTAGGACTTGGATTGTTGTTTTATTATTATATGTGGTTTGTAGTATTAAAGATTTGATTTGTAAATGTTTTTTTAATATTAATTTTAATTTATTTAGTAGAAATAATAAATAATATCACCCTAAATAATTCTAACTTTGATGTGTGCATACCCACAAAGGCGAGAGCGGGAAAATTTAACTTGAAGCAGGGTGGGGCAAGGGACGGGATGGGACCTACAAAAAAAAACTCATCTCGTGGCCATCCCTACTCCTAATTAATTCCTTAAATTGACAATCACAATTAAAAAAATAATAGTAGTGAATAATATCTCATTATGTATTAAAAAAAAAAAAAAATTATGATATATATATAGGAGTGCTAAAATAAAATATCATGCAAACCATATGAAAGACCTAAAGACAAACAATAGAACAAAGGGTTCACTTGGGTTACTTGGATCAATTAAGCAGAAACAAAAACATGGACAGTAAAAGAGCAACTTCTCATTCAAGTCCTCTTGACAATCATTTTGTGGACATCCATGAAGTCTTCCCTGAAGAAGAAGAAGAAGAAGAACGAGAACAAGGAGTGAAAAAAATGACTGACAAACCTGAGAAGCGCTCGAGCAGGCCCGTCAAGACTCGAGAATCAAAGAAACAACAACAACACAGAAGCTTTAGCCGCCAAGTCTCACTAGAGACCGGCTTTTCAGTGCTCAACAGAGAGTCCAAAGCAGCTAAAGATGAAAGAAGATTGCTTTCAAGAAGTGGAAATAGTTTTGGAGGGTTTGGTTCCGTGAATAGGGTTAGTGGTGAGGCAATTAGGAGGACAGATTTCAGCATATTTAGGACGAAATCGACTCTCGGGAAGCAGCACTCGCTGTTGCCTACAAGGAAGGAGAGTGAAATGGAGAATCAGAGAAACGAGGGGTATGGATCTGGAGGGGTTGATGAATCTGTAAATAAGAGTGTCCCTGCTGGAAGGTACTTTGCTGCTCTTAGAGGACCTGAACTTGATCAAGTCAAGGTAATGTAACTTACAACCTGAATTCTTATGCACACACAAGAATTCAAGATTTACATAGTTAATCCCAAAATTAAAGTTTACATCCACAATTGTTGCGTTTTCACTGTGATCATAAAAAATTACGCCCCGCTACTCCATACCTCTATCATATGCCACATCTAATGTGCCCCTAATTTGTGTGCAGGACTTTGAGGACATCCTCCTCCCCAAAGATGAGAAATGGCCCTTCCTCCTCCGATTCCCCATCGGCTGCTTCGGTATCTGCCTCGGCCTCAGTAGCCAAGCCATCCTCTGGGGAGCCCTGGCGACCAGCCCGGTAACCATATCTCTCCACATCACCCCCTGCATCAACCTCGCTCTCTGGCTACTCGCCCTCTTAGTTCTCACCTTCGTCTCCACCACCTACATCCTAAAATGCATCTTCTACTTCGAAGCCGTCAAGAGAGAGTACTTTCACCCTGTCCGAGTCAACTTCTTCTTCGCCCCGTGGATCGTCCTCATGTTCTTAGCCCTTTCCACTCCCCCTTTAATCTCCTCCTCCCCTCTCCACCCTGCCATTTGGTGCACCTTCATGGCTCCTCTTTTCTTTCTCAAGCTCAAAATCTACGGCCAGTGGCTCTCCGGGGGGAAGAGGCGACTATGCAAGGTGGCGAACCCCTCTTCTCATCTCTCTGTGGTAGGGAACTTTGTGGGCGCGATTTTGGCAGCCAAGGTGGGGTGGAAAGAGCCTGCTAAGTTCTTGTGGGCAGTCGGGTTTGCGCATTACCTTGTGTTGTTTGTGACATTGTATCAGAGGTTGCCGACGAGTGAAGCGTTGCCTAAAGAGTTGCACCCTGTGTATTCTATGTTCATTGCAGCTCCGTCTGCGGCGAGCATTGCTTGGGAGACTATCTATGGAGAGTTTGATGGGTTGTCAAGGACTTGCTACTTCATTGCATTGTTCCTCTATGTTTCTCTGGTTGTGAGAATCAACTTCTTCAGGGGTTTCAGGTATGCTCTATCTCTGGCTGTGTAGTTTATCTGATTTTGAGCTTTCAATTAGTTTTTAGAGCTTTTGAGGCAATCTTGAAAGAGAGGCAATCGAATTGGTTGGTGGGTGTGTTAGTTTTTTTATTATATTTTATCTCTTCGACTATCAAAATTGTTTCAGTTTCTTCCTTCCAAAAGAGGCTTTCATACGATTTTTAGTAATTGAGTGGTCTAAATATATAATTTTAAAGTTAAAAAGAGTAAGATGTTATTCAGTGGTAATTGAAAAAAATAAAAGGATAATTAATTCAAAAAATAATTCTACATACACATTAAATTATAGAAAAGTACTAAAAAAATAGACATCTCAGCCCGATAGCATCCACCTCTATTGAAAATAATAAAGATATCAACAAATGAGTTTAGCTCTAGTAGGCCTCATAATACTTGCACATACATTCTTGATACTTTAATGTATTTTAATTCTGTATTTGTAAGCTTACTCCTGTAAGAAGTACACAAGCAACACCATGCAAAAAAACTCAAAAATTACTCCGAAAATAAATGTGTGGACTATGTTTTGGTTTTTTTTTTTTTTTTCATTTTTTTTTTTTTTTTTTTTTCATTTTTTCTCTTTTTATTTTATTTTATACTGTTTGATGAGCTCATTGGCCAACACCCCGCTCTCACAAACCAACAGGCCAAGCTGAGCTTCAAGTCCTTAGCCCCGCCCCAAGCCTAGCTGAAGCCTCGTTTAGGCCCTGGTTAATCAACAATACTATTTTGTGCAGGTTTTCAGTTGCATGGTGGTCTTACACCTTCCCCATGACCACTGCATCACTGGCGACCATCAAGTACGCAGAGCATGTACCTTCAAATATAACCAAAGGCCTCGCTCTCACCCTCTCATTCATGTCCACAACAATGGTGTCCGTCTTGCTTGTTTCTACCCTCCTCCATGCCTTCGTTTGGCACACGCTATTCCCGAATGACCTCGCCATTGCCATAACCAAGAAAAGACATGTGAAGGAGAAGAAGCCAACCAAAAGAGCCTATGATATACGGCGCTGGACAAAGTCTCCTCTCTCCCTTGTTTCATCCATAACCAAACATAATTCAAAGAACAAGGACTCTGATGGACAGAAAGAAGTTGAGGATTGAATCATCTGTTAGGCAAAACCTTGCAGCCAAAATAGAAGTACTCTAAAATTCTCAGCACCTTCAAAAAAAAAAAAGGCAAAAAGTGTCGGACAAATAAAATTTCACCATGTATCTCAATCCCCCTCGTGGCTTTGTAATTAGTTACTATCTGACACTTTCCAGATAAGTTAGGAAAGGATCTTCCTACAAATTGTAAAATAAAAATCCAATTTCCATTCTCTTCATTATAAAGAAGTTATGTGGTAGGTCCAACCTATCATGTAGTTGTGTCCTCATCTTATAACAAGATGACAAATCATTTTATCTAAAATAATTGAAAAGGTGCACCACATATGATATAAGCGTCTTTGTATGGTGCCATTTCTAAACCTAAAGAAAATAATCCAACTTCTCTAAACTTCATTTTCATCCTCCTGCTTCACTTCCCTAGCAAGATATCACGGATGCCAAAAATTGACCAATCATAACCAAATTACATCCCCTGAATAAATTTTATAACCAAAACTAAAGGACAAATTATATTAACAGTCCCCATAGTTTGAGACTTGTGTCACTTTAGTCCCCGATTTTTTAATTGTGACGCATTTGATCATAAATTTGATATATTGTTCCAAATAAGGACAATTTGAATCGTCATTTTGATAAAATATAAACTAATTTGACAAAAATAAATACCAAAAAAATATTTTTGAATTTTTAAAAATTATTTCTATCCATAAAAAATAAAATTATGTAAAATTGATAAATCTTTTAAACATTTATTTATTTATTTTTACTAAATTAATTTTTACTATGTGTTGGGATAATAATCATGTAATAAGTGATGGTTAGGCTTGTGTAATCGATATATTTAATATATGAAATATTTTTAATTTTTAATTTTTTGATTTAATGAATTAGTTTAATAATAATATCAAAGTTTGTCGTCATATTTGACTTTTAAAAAGATAAAAACTAATAGAATGAAAATAAAAACAACCACCCATTACATGATCATCATCCAAACATAAAATAAAAATTAATTTGGTAAAAAAAATGTCTAAAAAATTTATCAATTTTACATAATTTTATCGTTAGTGAGTAGAAATAATTTTTATAAATTCAAAAATATTTTTTTGATATTTATTTTTGTCAAATTAATTTATATTTTATCAAATTGACGACTTTGTCCTTAAAATTGAGCAATAATATCTTCAATTATCCTTATTTGAAACAAAATTCAAAATCAAACGTATCACAATTAAAAAATGAGGGATCAAAATGACACAACCCAACATATGATATAGGCGTCCTTGCATGGTACCATTCCAAGACCTAAAGAAAATAATCCAACTTATCTAAACTTTGTTTTCATCCTCGTGCTTCATTTCCCTACCAAGATATCACGGATGCCAGAAATTAACCAATCATAACCCAATTACATTTCTGACCGCCGTAAGAAAGATATAAATTTTGTAACCAAATATTTACATATAGGAACTGTTTTGTAATGTAAATGTAGGAACTGTTTCCATGTTTGATTGAGTTGATGTATTTAAGGTCACCCATTTTATAATGTAAATACATAAAATGCTTGCTCATACCCTAATATTTATATCCACTAGTTAAACAAAATAAAAGTGTCAAAAGTTGTTTTTAGTACCAATGCGACTTTGAAGGATGCACACGAATATTCCTCAAATGAGAAACAGTTATATGTCATCATGTTACCCAACAAACAAACAGAGAGAGAGAGTAGAAGAAAATGGCTTGAAGAGAAAGCAATTGTAAGGGCTGTACAACACTAGCCTTCACATTTTATTGACTGAGAGGCCTACAGTATAGAAACATATCAGACGTTTGTGTGTGAGATCCATGTATTGAAAAAGATGGTTTTTAAGCTAAGGTGTGGACTTTGGGATCTCGTATACAGGCAAAGGACCTTACATTTAAAAAATAAAAAAACTTCTATGTACTTACTACCCATGGCGAGGAAATTGTTCTCAGTTGCCTCAACGGTCAACCCAAATGCTCTCAGCAAAGTAAAGAGATTGTTGTTAAGCGGATGAAACCTCCCCCAAATTCCAACTCAACATTCAACATTCTGTCAATCTTGCACCAAACGGCATATCCTTGAAGCCCGATGCCCACAGCTAGTGCTAATACCATTTAATAAAATTTAACCCTCTTCTACTCAACGAATACCCAAACTCCTGTAGCAATATCAACATTAACATTTACAACATCAATAAGACAGAAACAAATTAAAGAAAACATCAATTTGTTCATCCATGATATGAACCTGCTTATGCCAGACACAGGGCCAACCTCAGTGATCCCTCCATCACTCCCACACTGGATCTGAGTTCCTCCAAACCTGGGTGGTTTTTCTTTCACTAAATGGTTTATCTGCATAAGGAATTTATGAATGGTGAGATTAAAGGCTGATTCATCAAAAACAGAAAGATATTAATAAAAATTTTAAAACAAAAAATAAAAAATAAAAACCAAGTAATACTTCGTGGAAGATTAAATACTGACATCATGCTCTTGTTGGAAGGAGCCCAATCTATTCTCTTTTGAACCCTTGTACCAAAATACAAATAAATATGAGAGACTAGATTATTCGAGATTTAAATCTGAGGATACATCATACTTTTCAAGAATAACAAGGAACAAGCAGAACCTTTGAAGGAACACAACTAGGCCGAGGCAATTTTAGGTGAGATCCAGCACTCGGTTGGAGTTCAGTCAGAGAAAGCTAGCATTAACCAAGGGAGATGAGTCATCAAAACATATATTATTACAAAACTAATAATTGCAATTATAAAAGTAGCAGTAGTCATTCACAAAAACAGTTCGCAACTTAGAACTGTTGCTCACCGTTGTTAACAAAAATGAAAAAAAGGAGGCAACACTAGAACTCAAACATATATATACTTCTAAATTTACCTTGTTAAAAAGATCAACTGGTGGATTATGCTGACCCCTCTTTTCTGTATGGAAATTAAATTCCTGTAAAAAAATCAAAAGATGACATAATGAAATAATTATATTTTAAATTATCAATCTCAAAATATTGATCAGAAATCATAGAATCATCTATAGAACTACCATTGGTACAGTAGTTTCCTTCTTGCTATTTCGGAAAACTCCAATATCTCCTTTACTTGAAAATATCTGCATTTAAACACAAAACAGATTGAATTTTGGAAAATGCATTGACACATTTCACAAATATCTTGAATATAATACCTTCTTGTTAAGGGGGCGAGCTTTAAAATTATGAATAAATTCACATCCCTCCTCCTGCGTTGGAGCATTGGCAAAATTTGGTCTGACAAAGAGAGAAGCACATAACGAACAAGTAAAGTACTGTCATCTCATTTGAAACACAATGACGAATGGTAATTGAGCAATTTTCCCTAAGAATTGGATTTATGAGTCATCTCTTATTTAATTAGCTGTTCTCTGAGCTAATTTTCCCTGAGCTACTACAAGTGATCACCATAGCAAAATAACCATTTGAATAATTGTGATCAAAACATACGCACCAAAGTTTCAACTTAAAAAGGAACAAAACAAACACAAATAGATACTACGACTAAAGCTCATTTAAATGCATTAATAATGACACATCTTCCAATGTTTGAAAGGGAGAAACAGTTTGCAAACCAAAACAAAAAGAAGGGATCACACACAAAAATCACAAAGTAGAAAGAAGATTCTATAGAACAGAGAACAAAAGATGGAATGCCAACAACAGCCACCCACATTAACACTATCTTTTAGCTACCCCCATCCCATCCATGTGAGTAGTTAAACCCATAGTACAAAAATAATTTATCACATGTACGGAAGGCAAAAGACTACCACCAACAAACTGGAGAATTAAATTATCCATCCTCTTTCATAGAAAGGAGCACTGAAATAAATCAAATAAATTAAAGTCTGATGAGATAAACAGAACTACAGGACAAGATAGCCATTTACATGATAAATTTTGAAGTAGTAATAAAGATAATAGTATTACCTTCGGGATTCTCCATTTGCATTTTCTGCAATTGCATTAGTACTAGGTTTGTGCAACACCTGGAACCAACAGAACACAATTGCAGAACAGTTACACAAGGAATTCTTTGGAAATGGGATGCATCCTTCTTAGGCACAAGAGTCACAGTCAAGGACACAATATATTAATTGTGTCAGAGTATACTTAAGTATCCATTAAATTTAATCACAATTTTTTTTTTTTTTTGGGTAAATTCAATCACAAGCCTTATCAGTATCACTGCAAGAAACCGAGGATGACGAAACTGCAGATGTATGTTGCATGGCCCTCTCCAGCGTCTTCAGGTGAAATTCCTGAGAAGGAACATGATGAAGGAATATTTTAGCCACAAAAAGTGGCAAGAGATTTTATTTGCACAAGATATGGCCCAAACTTAGACTCAAAACAATGATATTTGTACATGCACAGATGCACAAGCAGTACACATGAGTTTGAGCACGCACTTGAAACTCTGGCAATCGAGGAGTGCTTCTTTTGGGGAGTAACGATGACGGAGCCTCAAAAATCTGTAAGTTTTATAAGCATAACATCTAAGTGAAATACAAACAGCAAAGTGAACCCTTGATAAATATGCAATTTTCATTAACCATAGCAACGAACCTTTCTGTTCAGTGGAAGTGCTTTGAATTTACGAATGGTTGATGCTGCACGTTCAGGTTCAGTAGTAGATTTTGGCCTGAAATTAACATCAAATGTGCATCCATCAGCCTGTTGGATGAAACTATGTCCACTACAACAAGGCATGATTAGAACAGCAACAGTAATTTGCATAAACCTAACCTCATCCTTTGTGCCCTGTGTGCTGTTTCAAGGTCAGGCTGTCTAGGTATAGTAAGCCTCAGCTTAGCATGGGCCAAGTTTCCATCAGTAGGTCCATCCTGAAAATCCATCCAAAGAATTATTTCCAAAACTCCAACAAATCTAAAATGACTTCTTCAATAAACTGCCATACTGTGAAGCCCCCAGTTCTGCCCTTTCCCTGTCAAATTCCCCAATAGTAAAAAAGGACAGGGACCTCAACAATTTTAGTATCTAATCATTGACCAATTTTGCCTTTTCACCATGCTAACCACATATAAATTGAACATACATCATAAGATAAGTCGATGGAACCCACATGGGGAACTTATTGCCAACCCAATTATCTTTTGCATTGACCTATCTGCAGGGATCATAAAAAAAATATCATGAAGATGATCATGAAATATTCTCCACCTTTAGATTACACATGCAATAAAACGCCACACATTAATCAAAGGATGAAAAATTTTCATGATACATTTCATGTTTTTTTTTCATGACCCCTAATATTATTCGTAGAACAAGAGTAATAGTATAAATAACTAGGTCGACAAGTTTTGTTAAACTTATACGAACAGAAAATGGAGACCTAGAAAATTCAAGTTCAAATCAGACAACCATGCCATTCTAATAAATCTTACAGCTACAAACAAAAAACATACAGCCACCACAAGGTAGAAATTAATGAACTCCATTGAGGAATCCATTACCAACTAAAAATATTTTCCATATAAATTTCAATAATCTTAAAGGAAGCTTTTGCTTACTTGAGTTAGTTCAATAGAGGGTTATGAATTCCAATAATCTTAAAGGAATCATTTGCTCACTTGAGTTGGTTTAATAGAGGGTATTGCACCCAGACCCAGAGCAAGAACTACCCAAACCCAGATTGACTTGAAAATGGAAAGGATAAAAAACAAATCTATGCTCATTAATAAAGTTGTCTTTTAGTATTGGAGCATTTGAAAACCTTTTATGTTTCATCAAACAACATTGGCAAGGACATTTTGTTTCAAAAGCTACTAGTTCAGAATGGTAAATTATAAAAGTAAAACCTCCTGCGCTTTAGAGACAAGTTTGACAATTAAGGGTTGACCTATACATATCCAAAAAAAGAAAAGGGTTTGTCACATTCAACTTGGATATTCTAGTAATTACAATATAAAGGAGAAAAAACAGCAACTGAAAATAAGGCAAGAACTATAAACGTTATGCATATATGGTGTTTAGTTGGTAAACATGTAGGACAAAAATGAAATATGAACTGAAAGGCCAGTCATGCTTCCAACAGGGGGTAACATACCCTTTTAGGCGCCTTGTGAACCAAATTACTCTGATGCTTTGTCTCAGCATCCTGTTATGCAGAACAACTGATATTCTTCAGGATAGAAGAAAAGAATTCTACAACAAAAAATTCTTTTGATGATTTTACCAACCTAGTCACTAAATTAAACAGGAATACTGGTGGGGAAGGGAGGGGATGTGTGCATGTGTGTAAAATGACAATACACAACCCAAAATTTAATAGAAAACATCTATTAAAACAAGATACGTGCCCCACATACTGCATAATCACAATTAAATAAGACCTCAAAGAATTGCTAGAAATAACTAGATGTATTCGCATCCAAGTAATGAAGCATTGATTCGCATAATTATCCCTCTATTCACATTACTAGATGTATTCAAAATCATCTAAAAAGGAAATATTGAGTGACAAACATTTTGGGACATCACTAAATAGAGAGAGGACTTAAAATTTGGGACCAAGGGAGTAAAAAACTACAATTGTAATAATCCTATGAATACAAGATACATTTACAAAAATGAAATTTAGCTCATGAATCAAAAACAGACAAGTCTGGATAATAATTATCCACGTCATATGTCATGGAACAAACACAAAACGTATGGACATTTTCAGCAATAGTGTCCAGTTTGTAATAAATGTTTAGTGACTGAAATTGCAAGCACATATTTGAAATCACAAGAATTATGCTTTTAAAGAAGAATAACAACCAAAGAATTTAATATAGTTAGCAGATGTAATTTCCATGACCTGGTTGCTAAATAACTTATCTACGCAAGTAAAAAATAAAAACAAAAAAACAATAACCAATTTGGACCTTCCGCAAGTGGCCTCCCTCAAGCTTTTGTCTCTTAGCAGCCTGACACTCGATCCCCAAAGGATTATTTGAGCTTCTCTCATTGTTTTCAACCAAAAGCTTCAGAACCCTAACACTCAAAAAGTAATCATATCATTAGAACAAGAAAATGCTAGAAAGAAATGCAGGTGATTATGTTGCCACATATTCAAGAAACTATTTTGAATACAGTAAAATGCAGATTTAGAGGGAAATGCTGTATTTTCACCGGAAAAGGTCCCAATACATAAAATTTGTCAGTGTTCAAGCTTTTTGCTGTGATGAGACTAACCAGAGGAAAGAAAACAAAAACATTTCAAAGTGGAAAAGATTAACAATATTTAAAATTAAAAATTAAAAAAAGAAGACACTCGCTAGACAAGAAAATACAATTAAAGCAAAAAACATTTCAAAAAATAATTCAAAGAAAAAAAAAACAATATTGGGAAGGAGGAAAAAAAGAAGGCTACCAGCTGGTATAGAAAATACAATAAAGAGAATAAAAAATAAAAAATAAATAAAAAAAGAACTGCAAAGCTTTAATTGTTGGACAAAAAGGTTGAACCAATATCCTGAAACCACAAAAAGAAATTGTATAATGGTGTTGCTGAAGAAAAGCATGTTTCTTTTTTGATAATCACCTTGAACCACCAACTTGGCGTGGTTGATTTTGCTTGGCCAGCTGACTTGCTGTGGGTTTCATCAGAGTTGAGGTCCTCGGAAAAGATGGCTTGACAACAGACTTAGTTTCAGCTCTTGAATTATCTTTTGTCATGTGGTTATAAAATATTAATTCTACAAAGAAACACATGAGGACACATGATTAGAGAAAAGTGGAACCAAATTAAAGATATTTGATCACAAAGTGGCACTAGCACATGCAACTGTTAATCCCATCTGAAAAGTTAAGTAAAAAGTGGAGCAAGGAAAAAAGGAAACCCAAAAAGCATAAATTGAGTTTAGGAGCTGAAATTTTAAACAATCCAAAAGAAATAGCCTCAATATTAAATTATAAAAAATAAAAATTAGGGTTTAAGTCTAAACAATAGGGTTTTGGAGAAACCCAGCGCCACATCCAGAACAAGCACCAGTAGTGCTACTAAATAGAATCAAGGAAGAAACTCAAAACACCTGTGGGTAATTGTTGGGGTTGATTCTGAAATTTGTGCAGACTGTCACTCTGTAACGTTGTCAAAATTCCACCATTCATTCCTTCAGAGTCTTATCAGATAAAAAACAGATAACATCAGTATAATATTACTGCTAGACATTTATCATGTATCTAGACAAATAGACTAAGAAGTTCATTAAATAATACTGCAATAGTAATATGTTAAAGGAGCAAATATTACAATGCCACCTTAGGAATGCATAAACGCACTGATGAAAGCTGCAAAGCCAAATGAGATGAAATAAGGAGGGAAAAGAAGAAAAGGAATAAAAGCAAAGAATGAGGTCTATGAAAGTAAAAAATATATAAGTAAATACAAAAACAGGCATTTTTGTAGCCCAACAGTTTGGAAGCAAAAATAAGCAAAATGGAAGGGGGATGAGTACAGATATCTGACCAATTAGGCAACTTTTTGCTCCCAAATTCGTGCAGGAGGCTTTGGCTTAGGAGGTTTGATATTTTGAATTAGGAATGGCAACAGGGCGGGGCGGGGCCGGGAATCACCCTCCTCGTCCCCGATCCCCGATGGTGAAAATTACCACGTCCCTGGCCCCGATCCCCGACGGGGGACCTATCATCGTCCCCGCCCCCGTCCCCTAACGGGTTTCCAGGCCAAAAAAAAAAATGGAAAAAAAAAGAAAAACAAAATAGCAGCAACAATGAATATATGTTAGATCTGAGATGAACAACAATAATAATCTAGCAATGATCCTCTATTTCTTCTTCCTCAACAACAACAACATCAACAACAACAACCATATCAACAATCAACAACAATAATGAGATGATATACATACCTATATACATACAAGTTAATCTATATTTATATATATTGAAAAATCAATGAGATGATACATATATATATATATATATATAAATAAAATTGAAGATCTGAAACACAGAGGTGGTCATGGATTGAAGACCAGAGGGTTGAAAAAAAGATCTGCAAAAAAAAATTAAAATAAAATAAAAGAAATAATTCATCAAAGGAGAGTAGGTGACCAAAATACATTCTGCATATATATATATATATATATCATACACACAGCAGCAACCAAACAATCTCTCTCTCTCTCTCTCTCCCCATCTCCAAACCCTAACTCGGTCGATGCTCTTCCAACACTCTCCTTCGTCGCTGCTCCTCCGTTGCTCTCCTCCGTCGTTGCTTCGTTGTCCTCTGTCGCATGATCCAAATCCATAGCTCATTGAACAAAGCTCAGATCTCAGCTTAGATCGTTGCAGATCTCGAGTCGGCGATGATGATCGTTGCAGATCGACGGTGATGGGAGGAGGGAGAGGACAGCGGTGGAGGGAAGGAGTCGGCGATGACAAAAGGAGGAAGAAGACAGCGAAGGGAGGAAGGGAGGGAGTCGGCGGTGGTGGGAGGGTTTCAGAGAGAGAGAGAGACCGTGTGAGAGAAGATTGAGAGGCATGTGTGTGTGAGAGAGTGTAAGAGGTTTGGTTTATATATATATAGAGGGTAAAATGGTAATTTTATTTCGGGGATAAACCGGGGCGGGGGACGGGCCGGGTACGGGGCTTGGACACTTATTCCCGTCTCCGGCCCGAAATTGATCGGGGATTGATTTTTCAATACCATCCCCGTCCCGTCGAGGGTATTTTTCGGGAAAAAACCACACAAATTGGGGTCGGGGAGTCGGGTCCCCGTCGGTCCGAGTTTAAATTGTCATCCCTATTTTGAATCAATGTAAGTGGTTGTGGGTGTTTGCTTGTGAAAGAGAACTTAGGCAGTTACTTCGAAGTGTGGTAGTGATAGGAAAACTGCTCTGCTAGTGAGGTCACCATGTCCTATGGCATCGATTTGTTGAGAGGGATTAGGAAGGGAAAGGGTGGATTCTCAAAGCATGTCCAATTTTGTAGTATTGGGAATGTGAGAAGTTAAGGCTCTAGGATGATGTGTGGCGTGGGAGCTCCATACTACGGGTTCCCTTCCTTATTTTAGGTCATGTTTGGTTTGGTTACCGGATAGGATAAGTGGGAGATAGGACTATCCTTGGGACAAGGGGAGAGATTAGGGTGTGTTTGGTTTGTGTTTGTAGAGTAGTTTTTGAGATAAAAAAGTACAAAAACTTGTTTGGTTTGCCTTTTTCTAAATATTCTCTCTAAAATAACTTTGGTTTTTTTTTGTAGAGTAATTTTTAAGATAAAAAGTATAAAAACTTGTTTGGTTTGTCTTTTTTCAAATATTCTCTCTAAAATAACTTTGGTTTTTTTTGTAGAGTAGTTTTTGAAATAAAAGAGTACAAAAACTTGTTTTTTTTTTTTTTCGGTCTCCCACGCTATCCCCAGGTTTTTTGGACCCAGGACTAATCCGCCGAGAAAGCTACCAGGCGCAAATGCGGGATCCTTTCCCAAGGGGTTTGCTGCATCCACAAAGGCTCGAACTCGAGACCTTTGGCTAAGCAACCCAAGTCCCTTTCCACTTGGACCATTCCCCATTGGTCCAAGTATAAAAACTTGTTTGGTTTGCCTTTTTGTAGAGTAGTTTTTGAGATAAAAAGTACAAAAACTTATTTGGTTTGCCTTTTTGTAAAGTAGTTTTTGAGATAAAAGTACAAAAAAAAGTCTAGTTTGCCTTTTTTGCAAACATGTTTCAAAAGTAATCCTGGAAATTGAATAACCAAACACATTTTGAGAGTTTTTTTGGGAAAATCTGTTTGGTTTGATTACTCTTAAAAAAGTGTTTGTAGAGTATATTTCAAAAAAATTTCTCCCAAAATCAAACCAAACAATGTTTAGGTCTCCCATGGGATAACGAGGATTGTGGAGGAAAATGTATACTATCCCATTCCATGTTTGAGAGGCACCAAATTGGGGTGGCATTATTATATGCTTAATAATTTCATCCATAAAATTTTATCCTTATTTGTGTATGCAGACACTGTCCGGTCATCAAATTCTGCGACCAATATGAGACAAATGGGTCCCATTCCCATAGAGATGACTAATCCAATCCCCCTTCACTAGTCCGGCAACCAAATGTGAAAATTTTGGGGATTTTTCAGAGCATGGTCTCTCAAAGGTGGTTGAGATAGAGATCTTTTGCGAAAGAAGGGTTGAGGCAAGATGGACAAAATTGCAAGGAGCACTAACATGTCTGGGAACTTCCATGCTAATTTTTCCGTAAGGAGCTAATTAGTTTAAGAGGGGTAAATGTTTCACCTTGTTACCATTACAAGTTTGCTAAGGAAATGTAGACATTTCTACAAAAGATGTTCAATGTTTAGTGGATTCTCCCACAAGCAGTGGCAGGCATATTTCTTAGTTGCACAGGGTGCAATATGAGAAAATTAGGAGGAAGCTTTGGCCAACAACCCTTTTTTTGCTAGATGTGTGGTATCTGCGGAGAAAAGAACCATTGCTTGTTTGGCAACACAGAAAGAACGCTTTTATCAGTCGTCATAGAGTTGAATGATGGAAGGGTTAACCAACCCTCCCTTAAATAGATTTTTGGATTTTTAGATGCTACAGAATTCATCGATATCTATTAAAATAAATTTGTTTTTACTTGTCACAAAAATAGAAAACAAAAACAAATAATACATATTTCAATTTTTCTTTTTTCTTTTTTTTGGGGGGGGGGGGGGGGGGGGGGGATCAATTCCAAGAATACTATATACTTGGGGATACAATACTGCTAAAATATTAAGGCTCAAGAAGAGAATATAATGTGAAGTTATTAGTAGACGCTAAACCATACCTCTGTCTTTCAAACCCACTACAGAAAAGTCTTGGCCCAACCCAACATCACTGTAGGGCAAAGTTGCGTTCACCACATCTTTAGACTTTGGGGAGATATTAACAGTTTTCTGCAGGATGTCCTCTCTCAATAATAACTTTGTTACAAAAGCTGAAATAAAAAAATCTGATAAGAACTTAAGTATGAAATAGGAGAATTTGAACTTCACGGTAACAAAATTGAAAGACAAAACATAGAAAAACAACAGCAAAACAATTGAAAAAAACTACAAAAAAGGAAATTAGATATCCCATTTTAGCAGTATAAAAGGAAATGCAAAACCAATGTAAGTCCTCTTAACAGAAAAATTTCATGGTTTAAAAAAACAAATAAATAAGGCTCATCATCTATAGATGGAGAACGCTAATAGAAGCTCAGATAACTTAATACATCCTCCCCTCGGGAGCAGCACACCTCAAGACTTTATCCTTTCAACACCCCCTCAAGACTTCACTTTGCGGGCTCCACATAGCCAATGAAAGTGTTCCAAAAGCATTCATCTCGTAGGCCCCGCAGAGAAGAACATATATGCAAAAAATTAGCCTATTGAACATCAATAAGCATACTAATTTTGTTTTATAAAATAGATGATTTTAATTTAAAATCCTATTTACCATCCATTTCATAAAACAAAACACACGATTAGTTAATATGTCTAGCGATATCCGATCAAGTTAAATTTTTTCATATATATTCTTCTCCTACGAGATCAATGCTTCGGATCACCGTCATGAGCCCAAAGAACCCACAAAATAAAGTCTTGAGAGGGTATACAGAGAATGTAGTCTTTAGCACTGTGTTTGGATTGAGTGATTTGGAGAGAAAAGAAAAGAAATAGAGAGAAATGTATTTCTCTTCCTTGTTTGGTTATCTTAAGTGGAAAGAAATGGGTAATACCAATTTTACCCCTGTAAAAATAAAAGAAACTAAAATGATTGAAAATATAAAAAGTTTATTTTGGTAATATAACATAAAATAATTTCTTTTCTTTTCTCTTAATGAAATCTAACCAAACAAGAAGGAGAGAAATCACAATCATTTCTTTTCTTTTATTTCTTACTTATCCAAATAAAAAGGAGAGAAATTACAATCATTTCTTTTCTTTTCTTTTCTCTTATTACTTAAGTAATCATTTCTTTTATTTTCTCTCCTAAGTTACCAAACATAGTGTAGGGGAGCTTCTCCCCCTTCCCTTTGTGGTTTGGTAAGAGAATCTATTTACAGCTTTATTTCCCCACTGTTATAGTAAAAAAAAAAAAAACAGAGCCTTGGGTTGCTCTTTTGGCAGAAACCACTAGTAATTTCCAATTATGGTGTAATTTTTATAACATATGAAGCTCTTCAAACCTCAAATTAATCGACAATAACGCAAAAGCACGAAAAAAATAAATAAATTCAAAGATTTAGAAACAATACATAGAGTCAGCATCAGCAGATAATAAGATCATAAGAAAAACGAAAGACCAGTATTCATTGAATTTACAAGATTTGCAACAACAAATAATGCTCCAATCAATCGGCAAACAAACAAGAAACAAGTATGGCTGAGTGTAGAGAGAGAAAGAAAGAGAAAACTCACGAGAAGGTGGATAGGTTCCTGCAGATTCGAACCAGAGCTCGGCCTCACGAGCCTCAGCGCTCGACTCTTCACGCGTGAAATCGAAGCATCGAGCGGCGTCGAACTCGTAGTCTAGGTCTATTTCCACCGCTGTGAATGTCAGCTCCATCGAATCCTCCATTTCTTCATCCATCTCCATCTCTCTCCTCTCTCTCTCTCTCTCTCTCTTCTGTATGTATAAACACAATGCCGAACTCTCTCTCTCGAATCGCTGATTTCGCTATTGAAACCGCTTAAGAAAGCCCTAATAAATCTGAAGGAGAAGTGTATACAACATATAGAAACGAGAGTGAATTTTTTAGAGAGAGAAAGAGGTGTTTATAGCGCCGAGGCTTTGGAAGGATCCGAAATTTGAAAAAGATGGGTAAATGGGTCAGAAATATTATAATAATCTGGTGATAGCATTATATAATTTTTGATGACGAAATTGCCCCTGGGTTTTAATATAATGGCAAGGTTGGGTACCGTGGGTTTTTGAAATTTGGAACGTGAGTGGAGGTGAGATTGGTAATTTTATTTGGCTAGGAGGTTATTGGGGTTTGAGCTCTGGTTTGTGGTGTTGAAAACCTGTCGAGGAAGCCCTTGAAATTTCGGCGCGGCTTGAAGTTTGGCCTTGTGAATTTGTTAAAATTGCGAGAAAGCCCCTAACGGTTTTATTCGGTTGTCAGCCTATGAAAGGCTAAAAGAACGGGCCCACCTCTGCAAATTCAAAAGGCGATGTAAATTTATTTTTATTTTTATTTTTATTTTTTATACAAATTCAAAACCCCTTTGTGTTTGCTTTTTAAGTAAAACACCCTCTTTTTTTTGCTTTTTTCTCTTTTTTTTTTTTGGTTTTCGTGAAAACATTTCTCAATTAGGGTTAGTGGAGTCTTTTGCTTTTTTTTCTTTTTTTTTTTTGGTTTTCGTGAAAACATTTCTCAATTAGGGTTAGTGGAGTCTTAAAAAAAAAAAATAGTCAACACAAATTGATTTTTCAAATTTACTTTGATTTTCCAAAATTATGGGGCTATTTGGGAAGGAAAAAAAAATGTTAGCCTTTAGTTTTTAATCTATTTTAAGTCATTTTTTTTTTAATATTTTTACACATAAAAAGATAAAAAAAATTTAAAAAATCAACTTTTAATTAACTTTTTAAATCGCTCTTATATTTAGATGCGTTTTCTTTTGTTTTAATTAATTTTTTATATTTTAATCATTTTTTTTTTACTTTTTCAATGCATCTAAATTAAGTGCATCTAATAAATAAATTGACTTATATGAAGAAAAAAATCACTAAAAACAAATAAATTTACTTATTAAAAACAATTTTTGAAAAATCAAGCCAAACAGAGCCTCTGTTTGGGAAGAAAAAGCCCAGGCTTTTTTGGCTAAAATAGCCACAAAAAACAAAATAGGCTATTTTAGCCACAAAAAACAAAACATCAAATCCAACCCATAATCATTACAATCATCTCTCACAAAAAAAGTCAAAAAAGCCAAAAAGCCAAAAAGCCCTTCCCAAACCAGGCTAAAATAGCCCAGGCCAAAAAGCCAAAAAGCCAAAAAGCCAACCCACTTCCCAAACGGAGGCAGAATTAGTTAATTTATACGATAAAATTTGGAGATTGGATTGACAGATTAACTTAGGTGGATTACGTGATAACATTGAAAGGTCAATTAACATACAGTTTAAAAATTATCAATTCGCTTGCAATTCAATCCGACTTATATGTGTTTACATGAAATTATCTTTTACTTGTCCACACACAATCACTCTTTAATCTAATATCATTAAACAAATGACACTTACCTCTGATTTTTACTGTATATTTTTATTTATTTGATTAATTTATGAGTTTGGATTTAAAATTAATAATAAATTTTTTACTTGATATATGAAGAAAAAAAAAAGTATAATCGTATAGCAATTTGACAATTGCACAGCGTTGCTAGGATGTAATTTTTATACTATTCATTATAAAAATTATTAATTTTTATAACTTTAACTATTAATTTTAGCTAATGATCTAACTCAGCCCTAGCCTTAAATTGACACCTTAATAAGTTAGGGTGAAAGCCAATTTTTGTTTTGTTCAAAGTCATGAGCCAAACAAGGTAAAGTCACAGAGTCCACATTGTCCATCAATTTTGACACAGACTCCCTTCACAAAATTGGCAATCTTTAATTTGCACTTTTTAATGTATATTGAAATGTGATACCCAAGACACTGTCCTCCCAATAAGGAAAAAAGGATAAGGTTGATTTACCATTTCACTGTTTTTCTCTAGCAATTACTTGAAATAATGTCCTTGCTTGACTCATGCCTGTTGAATAGGACAGAGAGACCTTATTAGAAAATGTTGAAATTAATGAGTGTCCAGATCATTGTACAACTTAATGTAAATTGTCATTAATTTCATAACAGTCAGTCTGCTGAGACAGCTTACAGTACACAAAAATGTGTGGATCCTATGTCAGTTGTTAGTCAGATAAATTTTTTGTGGGATAAAAATTAATTTATTGATTTAAAAATTTCATTTTACTAAAAAAAAATTATTTGGAAAACAAAATTTGCGTCAAGAAGTCTAATTAGTCACTTTGAGACGTCGTTATTTTCACACATTAACCGTACTTCATTAAATTAAATTTTAAATCTCGCCTTACTAACACACCTATGTCTAACTTTAAAAATTCAATACAATAAGCTAAAAAAGTTAGTAACACGACAAACAAATTATCCTTTTAACATTAGCATTTTATTAATTTTGTTACAACTAATAAACTAGTTTTTGACAAAATGGTAGTGATCAAATCAAGGTGGAACAGTATTAGTTATTATACAAGGTGTTGTTGGACACACGTTAAATATATAAAAAAAAAAGTGTACATATTTTATTATATTAATTTTCATGTAGAATGTGCAGGACTTTTAAATTTTTTTAACATGTGCATTAAAAACACACATTAACAAGATTCATTAGTGATGTTGATTGTGACACAATGACGGTGTTTGGGAAGCTTGGCCCCGGGCTATTTTAGCCTCAATTGTAAAAAAAGTCTTTTACACCCTAAAATTCATTGATTTAAAAAAATATATATATATATATAGGGCGCAGCCTACACTGTCAACGTGACAATGTAGGCACAAAGATTGATAGCCCAATCATTTCAAAGAGTAAATGATAATTTTGCCCCTTCAAACTTATTTTGAAAAAAATGAGATTAAGGACAAATTTGTCATTTCAACCTCAAACATCATTTCAAACACATTTTTTAATACACAACCCAAATAAAAATTCATCCTATCTTCCTAAACACAAAAATTAAGATAGCCTACTAAAATAGTCAAAAAGCCTAAAAAAAATCACTTCCTAAACACCCACAATATAATTAAAACTGAGATCAACTTATCACTAAAATTGATCATACTTAAACCATCTCTAGCTACTCTTTAAATTTTTACTCAAATTTAAGTAAAAGTTTCATTTTGCATGAATCCCCAAAAGCAAATACTAGTTTTTACTCGAATTCATTTTAAACATCCTCATCATTTCCCAAAAGTAGAAGTTTAGTAAAGACATAAAGCTTGAAAAAAAGCAAATATAATTGTTGGTAATTTAAATCATGATTTGTGCACCCCTCATTTGAGTAAAAAATGTTGGTAAAATTAAATTGTGTATCAGTTTGAGTCAAGATTTGAATGTTGATAAAATGTGGTCTAAATTTGAATCAAGATTTGAATAAAAATAAAGATGTCCTTATAGTCTTTATATGGCACCAATATGATTGTCACTACACTGTAAATAATTATTTACCCAAAAAAAAAAAAAAAGATACACTGTAAATAATTATCTCATTATCAATACTTCTATTTTAAATCATAAATGTATAATTGTCTATGGCCCAGTCAAAAAATGTTGCATTACTTAGTCGAGTACCATTGAATGTAAATGCTCATTAATTTCCAGGTACTCTTAGTAAAGGCTCAAAATAAAATATAATTCTAACATCTATATTGTTTTTTTAAAAAAAAAAATCAGTATGTTAATTTATAATTTTTTTTATATAAAATAAATCATTAATTATATCTTAACAACTATTCAAAGGACGCTAATTAACATTGTCATTAACATTTGCCAAAGTAATTTTTCGCTCACCTTGAGGTCATGTGAGACGCACAATTATATGTACCGAGAGATTAGTCAGGATAAACAAGTACGTGTCAAAGTATGTAATGGTAGCTCCAAAATTAAACAAACTCCTAAGCTTGTGACCCTTTTTAAAAATAAGTAATGTTATATAAATTAATAAATTATACATATATATATATATATATTATTGATATGACACTTGTCACATTATTAAAATAGATCATGTTTTAAATTATTTTTTTTTAATTTTTTTATTGTATGACACATCAATTAATAAGAAAACTTAATAAATTTAAAATTAAAGATCTATGCACACATATTTTTGGAAAACTAATTAATCTTATTAAAAATGTTCCATGCCGTTCACACGAAGGCAATCCATTCTTAAATTTCATATTAATACAATAACTTATCATAACAGACTTCCTATTTTATTTTATAAAAAAAAGAAGATAAATTACACTAGCCTCATCTAAAAATTGAAAAAATTAAGAGCATCTCCAATGCACTAGGCATATAATACTTGTTAGTTAAAATGCCTAGTGTGATTCACTTTTTTCAATTCCAATGCACTAGGCATATGATTAGGCATTTTGGCTCAACTCATATTCACTAGCTACATGTAGCTAGCCTTCAACGCTAGACATAATATATTAAATCATTAGGATCATTTTCCTCCATCTTTGTTGTTGACGTGGCATTCTATAAAATTAATAGTATTTGAATAAATAGCTAAAATAAAGAGCATGGTTGGAGTAAAAACAAAAACAGTTGATAGGCAAAATAAAATATATACTTTATAGTAATATTTAGATAGGTAAAATGCCTACTACCGTTGGAGATGCTCTAACATAATTATTTTTAATTTTTAATTCACATAACATATAACCCTCTTTTCATTAATAATTTATTTTATTTTATTTATATTTGTATTTTTATATCATCTATATTATTTTCAGTCATTTTATTCTTAGTAAAAGAATGATCAATGTAATTACACCAAAA